GCGATTGCCTTCCTAACTGAGGATAGACTACCAAAGACCAGTTCCAGGTGACGATCTGAAAGACATTGTAGAAAATAGTTAGGAAAGAATGAGAGTAAGGGTTAACAGAATAAAACTTTAAGTGTCTGGAGGCATCAGAGAGTTGTCCAACTGGGATCTAGCACTGTCTCCATGTTAGACAATACAGTATGGATGATTTCATCCACTGCATTTTATACCTGGGCAGCACAGCATGGCTCACTGGTACGCATAGCAACAGCTTGGCTTCTGTTTCACGGCAGCAAGAAAGCTAAGAAAATGGGTCAAAATCAGAGAAGATGAAGAGGGAAGGGATATTTCATTTAAAAACGAAATGAAGTGTTAAAATGCTAGAACAACTTGAATGGCATGGTGGAAGTCAGTCAATTTTTCCCTTTTGCTCCTACTTTTGAGCCAAGAATAATGGGGCAATAATGTAATTAAAAACAACAGACTTAGTAAGAGGGCATCCTTTTTTCACCACTACAAATTAACTTTTGTTGAATTGACTGTCATTATTGTGCCAAAGTGCTTAGCAGAATTCAGAAAAGGATTAGACAGTTAAATGAATAGTTAAGATTACCCTAGCTTGAACAGAAATATAAGAATTATGATGTTGATACTTACGCTCTAGGCTGCAGCCTTAATTTGTCATCCCACCACCCCCCCTGCTCCACTCCTCAATATTTGCTCTGCTCTCAGCTCTGGTGCCACAGACATGGCTTGCGGCTGGGAGCCTCTGTGACAGGGACTATCCAGCTCCTGTACTGCAGGGCTGGGATTGAGCACACTCAGTCACAGTCTCGGGGTGCTTGTACACATGACAGGGGTTTAGTACCCTAAATTGAAACAGTGTGTTTTTAACTGAGATGATTAAAAACTCACCATTTCAATTTAGGGATTTCCATCACTGTTACGGCGAGGGGTCCGAACGTTTTCGGGTTTTTTTGTGGAGCCTGCCTGCATCTCCCATGGCTGGGGGGCGGAGGGGAGGGGTGAGCTTCTGGTGGGCGGGTGGCCCCTGACCTGGACCCCAGTCCTTCCCTCCACAGTGCCAGCACCCACCGGGGCTGCCTGGGCAGGCTGCTAGCGGGCTGGATGCTGTCCCAGCTTGGGCTCGGGGAACATTTGGATTGGGTTGGGTGCTGCCTCTGAGCTGGGGCAGCACCTGCCCACTAGCCACTCACCTGGGCAGCCCTGGGGGGCACCACCACTGTGGAGGGAAGGACTGGGGCCCCCCACAGCTCATGGCCCGCTGGCAGCTCAGCCCCTGGCTGCAGGCAACCTCCTCAAAAAAAAAGGATTGGGCCCCTCACTATGTTTTTTTTTCCTGGTGGAGCCTGCCTGCACGAGTTGGCTGTGCAGCCCCTGAGCTGCAGGGGTCCCCAATCCTTCCCTCCATGGTGGTGGCACTCCTTGGGGCTGCCCAGGAGGAGTGCTAGTGGGTTGGGGGCTGCTCCAGCTTGGAGGCCGCACCCCCGCTGGATCCAACTCTTCCCTGAGGCCGCCGAGGGAGCAGCACCCAGCGCACTTCCAGTGGGTGGGCTTAGGGAAGAGTTGGATATAGCGTGGTGCTGTCTCTGAGCTGGGGCAGACCCCTTCCTGCTAGCACCCTGCCCAGGTGGCCCCAGGGAGTGCCACTGCCATGGAGGGAAGGACCAGGGCCCCCCACAGCTCAGGGCTGTGGGGCCTGCCAGCAGCTTGCACAGGCAGGCTCTGCTGGAAAAAAAAATAAAAGTAGCAAGGGGCCCAATCTTTTTTTTTTTTAATGGAGCCTGCTCACATCTCTCAGGGCCAGGGGGAGACCTGCCAGCAGGCCCTGAGCTGCAGGGGGCCCCAGTCCTTCCCTCCATGGCAGCAGGTCCCCCCTGGGGCCATCCAGGTAGGCATCTTGCAGCAGGCCCTGGTCCAGCTCTCTGTGGTGGTGGTGCCTCCATGGGCTGCCCAAGAGGGCAACTAGCAGGTAGATGCTGCACCAGCTCAGAGGCAGCACCCAGCCTGATCCAACTGTTTTCCAAGTCTAAGCTGGGGCAGCATCCAGCCCACTAGTAGCCTGCCTAGGCAGCCTCAGGGGGTGTCGCCGCCATGGAGGGAAGGTCTGGGGCCCCCTGCAGCTCACCCCCCACCATGAGAGATGCGGGCAGGCTCCACAAAACAAAAAAAGGATCGGTGCACTTGCCAGCAGCCCACCTCTCCCATGGCGGAGGGGAGCAAGCTGTCCAAAGGCTGCAATGTTACAAATAGCTATGTTGCAAACTAAATTACGTGTGGATGTGGTTTAGTTTGCAGTGTAACAAACTCATTTAAACCATAAAAAAATAAAACCTGCATGTGTACAGTGACACCATTAAACCTCAGTAATGGGCAATTTTCATCAGGTGTACAAACACCCTTACAGTCCAGAGGCCAAGTAAGAACTGTATGGTGACACAGCAATTTCAGTGAAGATGGAATTGCCAGAGACTTTAGGTGCCACATGCTAACATGTCTCTGTTTAGCTTATGAAAATGAGATTTTACAGAGGCTTATAACTGGGGCAAAACCACCCCCTGAACAGGGCAGCCTCTACCAAATGCCATGTATTCACTCCAGCACTAGAAAGAACTAAAGAGGCTCTCAACTGAATAGTTACAAACATAGTTTCAAAATGAACAAAACAACATGTTTTTCTCTATCCTCATTCTGAGAATCAACTGGATTGTTTAAGCTACCATTTCTCCTGCCTGGAACAGACACTTGGGAAATTTAAGTCCAAATTGTTTAAGTTTGGCAAAGATATGAGCAAAATAAAACAGAGTCTAATAATGGAAAGGGTCAAGTAACTTGAACTACAGGCCTTGTTACCAACACTGCCTTTAAGAAACATGTCTATATACCCTTCAGAAATGGTGCGCTCAACAGGGGACTGCTTATTGTAGGCCTCAAGTGTTGAGGAATAACATATGCAACAGGCGAAGAACACTGGCTAAGTGCCTGTGATCATGCCTTACTCTAGTAGCTGGCATACTCATCCTCACTGACTACAGTATCCTGCTTCTCATAGCTCAAGTTTTTGATTCAGGGGCTGAGATGCTGGATCCTGATATCCAGTGCTGACCCATGGTCTAAGTATTTGGTCATGGGTCTTTTAGACACCCCCACAAAACCTCATGGAGATAAAACATAACTTAGTCCATGACTCTGGAAAGAATGATGCACATACTATCACTTCAGTGGGTGGAAAGTCAAAGTCATGATTTGTTTCAACCTAAATGCAACAAAATAATTTCCTTTCCCTTTGGTGAAGCCTCAGTCTATAAAGGGGCAGTGATTAACAGCAGTGTTTTGGCTGTATTGCTAAGGATGCCACCTGCATTGATCAAAATGTAAAAAGAAGAGCATTCCTTTGTGGCATAAGCAGAGCTGTACCTCAGATTTCCGATCATGCACGTCCATGCTGCCCACAGTTGAGATAATATTCTCTATCTAGACTGCCTTGTTTAGAGTCATTGCTGTGACATTCAGTAGAAATCAGTAAATTGTTTTCATCCAATACAAAACAATAACATTAAGTTAAACTTTTAAGCAAAATTCACGCACAGTGTAATTCAGACACGCAAGCTTAGCCTCTTTGGGAATTACTCAAGCACCAGATGAGAAAGCAGCAGTAATTAAAGACTTATCACTAACAGTTTCAATTGAGAGTCTAAAATATTCATGTAATTTAGATTTAATACAAGGACTATTGTACTCCCTGTTAAGTAAGTAAGTGTCATTTCATTCTTATAAACAATATTTGAGAATTAAGAGTTAGCAAGGAAGCCTGAGATGTGTACAGTGCTGTCAGTTGTCTTTTGTAAATCTTTGAGTATTTGCACAAAAAGACCAGACTCCTCCCTGATGTACTTTAACTCCATTGACTTCAGTGGATAAGCCAGAAATGGACTTTTTGCCAAATTTACTGAAATTAACATAGTGAGAGCAAAGGTTATTTTTTTAATGTTGATACAAAATATTCAACATCTACAAAAAGTCCAGTCTATTCAACCGTTTATGGATGGATTTAGATGGCTATAATCGTACTGAATGATATTTTGTGTCAGGGCATTTCCACTGAAAACCAAAACTGTGCAAATAACTGATTTTTTCCGCTTCTTTCAGTGACAAAAAAAAATGAAAAATATAATTAAATTGTGAACCAACCTCCCCTCTTTTTATTACTGGGGCCAGGGTTCATTTTACTTTGGTGTGTTTTCACTTTCCTTAGAAGCACTGGGTGTTGGCTTTGGCTGCAACCAAGGCTGGAAATTTTGCCTGGGGTGTGCTACTGCTCTTGCTGGAACTTAAAAAAATAAAACCCTGGAGGTTGCTGGCTAGAAGGTCTTGATTCTCCACTCAGGGTCAGAGAGATTGCCACATATGGAATCAGGAAGGAGTTTTACCCAGTGACCAGACTGGTATTTTTCTTTGTTTTTGCCTTTCTCTCTAATGGGGGCATGATCCTCTTCCTTGGCTCTCCTGAGTGATTTTAACAAACTACTTCTTGTCCTTGCAGTGGCAGGATATTGATGGTACCCTTGCTGTACCTGTGGCAAGTTAGGGTGCTGTTGCTGTTTTCAGGCACTGTGCCTGGTAGCTGTGGATGAGGGTGGTTTGTGCAGTTTTCAGAAGAGGTTAGACAAACATCTATTAGCTAGGGATGCTGCTACCTTGAGCAGGGGATTCTTCTTGATGTCCTCCTGTGGGGAAAAGGTTTTTCTGAAGTACCTGGCACAGCCCTCTTACTTTACAAGGCTGGCACCAAGGTCCAAATCTCTCTGAAAGCAGTGGATCAACACCTTGCGATTGCTGGGTTGTGATTAAGGCACAGGCCTTTCTCTGTCTCAGCACCCCTAGCAGATTTGATGGATGCTTGCCTGCACTTCGGATGACTTATTAACTCCAGCTCGGTTTTCTGATGTCATATCCCAAGCTCTGTGCAATCATGTCCCCATTTCTTCCAGCCTACAGTACTGGTGCTGATCTCATGAGACTGAAGCCATACACTAGACTCCAAAAATTCCTGGGACGAAATAAAGAGAGAAGAAAAGACTGAACTGCTCTGCATTCCTCTGCTGATCTCTGCATGGTAATTTTGGGGTAAACCATTAAAATGTAATGCCTACAAAAATACACACCTCTTCTTGGCTGCCCCAAGGAGGGATTTGCTGGATATTTCTTATTACTGCCTTGGTGCTCTCCCCTCCTGCTTTTTCACAGGCCCACAAACCCCTTCCTGCACTATGGTTACAAAATACAGCTGTAAAATAAGCAGTGAAAATCCAACAAACATAAAACTCCTTTTGCATGAATTGGGCTTTCCAATTCTTTTATCACTAGGGATTTCTGTGAATTGCAGAGTTTCCTGTCACTCTGAACAGCAAGTGTGGTAAGAACATGTGATGGCTTTTCTTTGTTTTTTTAAGTACAATAAAACTTTGTCTCAGCTACTGTTCACAAATACCCTTCTCCCTTGCCTTGGCACCCTGGGATCATTCTGCTGCGCAGCTGAGGATATGTCTACATTGGAGGCTGCAGTATAGCATAGAGATGCATGAATTAGCTTTAAACCAGGGGAGTCAAACTCACCTCAGCCCCCAAAACTGGATCGTATAGCTCCTTGCAGACCAGATATAGATCTGGACATGATGACAGTGGCAGGGCATGCAGGAGTGACAGCCATGGGGATTAACACAGCTATTGCTCACCTCCCTCCCTGATATGTAGCCTCAACAGGGCTCTATGCTCCAGATTTTGGTGATGGACCCCATTCCCAGCTTCCCTGCCCTAATTCTCAATCCCTCCATGATCTTGTGGCCCAGAAGCTTGACACTTCTGCTCTAAACCTTTTCTGGCAGAGCTTTGTGAAGCCAATACTTGAACTAGCTTGTTTAGAGCCAGCTTGGACATCTCCACACTACACTGGAGACTTTTGTGTAAACATACCCTCGTGAAATAAGGCCAACCTACCTGTGAAGATAGGGCTCTTGCTGCCAAGGGCAGGGCCATGTCCTCAGTCCCAGGAACTCTATTCACATGTTCAGCCCTGGAAGCTGTGGTGATGGAGTAGCTTCTAGCATCATTGCAAGGGCTGCTACATTCTTGTGATTTTGACTTCTGGCAATAGCAAGCTTGCTGGTCTAATGTTAAAGGAAGAGACTGGCCTCAGTCACCTCACTAGCCTAGCATCTCTATCTCTAGCCCATTGAGTTTATCTGAAGGCACATGCTTTAGTGAGGTCATTGGGTTAAGTCCCCAAGCAGGCTTGGTAGATATCAAGGTAGACCACAGATGCTACTAATTCATGACCTCTTGTTTGCTTTTCTGAAGTCAAGGCACAGCTAGTAAAGTTTCTAGCTCAGCACTTCTAGTTTCCTGGACTTATGCTAAGGTGCAGGCCTTGGTGAAATCATTGGATCAGCTTCTGTGAGGTTGCTGGCTCATAAAACACACTTACATTTCTTATGGACTCTTGCATAGTAACTACAGTCAAAAGTTTGCAAAGTTAAACAAGAAATAGCAGAGATAATTTAAAGAGAAAGTGCCCCAGAACTTCACTCAAATCTTACTGTGACACAGACACTTTTTAATAGTTGAAAAAAGAGGTGTTAAGTTTTTATTTTGTTATTTCTTGTATCCTTTTGCCTGTAACTTTCCAGATTTCACCTGGGAATGGAAGGAAAGTTGCCAAGATGCTGCAAGGAAAGTTTTCCTTCTGTATTTAAAGCCAACCTAGAAGAAAGCAGTAATAGATAGCTTATGGGAGAAACTCTTCTTGTGAGTTTTCCAATCCAGTTTTGCTGACCCAAGTATTTGGTATACTTCAGAAAAGCTTTGGCTAAGTATCAAAGCCTTTGAGTTTTTGTCTGAAGCAAACTCAGATTCTGAACCTTTAGAGAGGATTTCACATTGTAGTTCTCTTACAGGAACAAATGAACAGGGTGAAAACTCTTTGGGTGCAGTTAATATGAAGGTATGGATACTGCCATTTAGCTCTTCTCTAGAGATTATTATACTCTTTATCTGGTTACTGATAAACAATCATGCTTGGGTTAGGAAGACTGCTTCATTTCTATGGACTTCATTATTCCTCATGGTTTGCAGTGTTGGTACTGAGTTGCATTGGTGCATAAGACAGTTTATGACAACTCTTGTTGTCTTACCCCTACAAAAGATGTGTTGACAGGAAACTTTACAGGTTTCTTCCCAAAAGGTGACATTCACACAAGGAAAATTACAGTATGGTAACTGATTGGGGGGCAACCAGAGAAGCAGTCCTGTTCACTGCCTTTGGGGCTGCTTGGTTTTCCTGGCAGAAACTGAAGAAGTCATACTTCCCATGAAAAGAAGTTTCACACTATGAATTCATAAGAAGTTGATGGTCATAAGAAACTACATATTATGGGAAACCATCCAATTAAATATGTTAGAAGTACATGTGTTCCACTGTTTCCTGAATTTCAAACAAGAAAAGAATGCTGACTGGTTTTCCTCAGAATAGCAACTCTGTAGCAATCAGTGTTTCCCAAAAAATCACACTTTTTTCTGGATTTCTGAATTTCATGTTATTCTAGTTGAAAATCATTGAGATTAGATATAAATTCAGAAAAGATCTGGAGGGGGACCTAGAAGTATTGAAAATCACTGATCTAGTTGGTGCCACTTCTGGGGGGGGGACTGTAACCTGCTGCACCCTGGTCTTTCCGCTGTCTGCCTCTTCCCAACCCCTGGTCAGTACCTTAGGGGGCAAGAGCATCCCCCCAGTGCTGATGCTGCTCCTGCAGGGTCTCACACCCTGGTGACCACCCTAGAGACCTCTTGTGTCAGACCTGGGAGCATAGTTGGAGTGGAGGGGACAAGCTGGGCTGCTAAGTGCAGCTCTGGCTGTGCATCCATCTGCCCACCTGCTCACAGCAGAGCACACTTTTGGGAGTATAGGGGGTGGGACAGAGATTGCCTGGGGGTAGGGAAGGGTGGGAGAAGGCAAAAGCAGTGGCAGCAGTCCCCAGAGGAGCAGTTACAAGCACTCCTGGACTGGCTGGGACAAGTACAGGGGGCCAGATGGGAGAAGAGAGCATTTACCTCAGTGGGATTTTGCAGCACACTTCTGTCACTATCACATCACACCACTGTGCCACAGAACACACTTTGGGAATAAGTGGTGTAGATCTACCTTACTTTAGCTTAGTTCCCAATATGGCAAAGCACTTACACATGTTTAAACCCCATGAAAGTTCATTGCAGTATCTTTACTGGCTTCAGGGACATAGGACTGAGGAAAGAGATATTGAGGGAGAGGTCACAAGTGATATGTATTTGAAAACAAGGCTGTTGATGACAGACATTGAATCAGAACTAACCTATTATTAAGTACAGCTTTCTAGATTCATGCCTCAGCAAAATCCAGAATCGATTACTTAATTCTCATGAGTGAATTCTCCCTCTTAGAATTTGAGCCTCATAAAGTCATTTTGTTGATCTAAACCCAAAAACACAATTTAAGAACTATGCACATCAGTCTTCCTACATTTCATTATTTCCCCCAATTCTAATTTCTGTCAGTCATGGGCTTTAGCTGTCAATAGGAACCTCACCAGAACAGACCTTTGTGAATATGAGAAGTCTTAGAAAATGCAACCTTACACACAGTTCTCTAGGTTTTTTACCACCTGTAGCCATTTTGGAGAAGAATTGGTTGAATTATGAAGATGTTTCCTCCTTGGTCATTCCCTGCATGCTTACAGCTTTGTAGCAGTGCCAGAAATTTGACATACAAAATTAATGTTAGGCTACCCAAGTGATGTACAGTGTATTGACTATTTTACCCTAATTATGAAGTCTAACTTCCTTCTAGTTCCAAGTCTGTAAAAGAAAACTTTTCTGTATTGTGCTTACTTAAGACAAATGAAATGTGGATATGTAGGAGACTGTAGTAGCATGTGATGGAAAAGGTTAGTCATTCATCATGCTATCTGCTAAACACAATTTTTGTTAAAGTTGACTTGCACCAGCTAAACTTACTTGCACTTTGTGTTGATGCATTAAAACAGGAGCTTTGCTGAAGGTCTGAGTAGACTTCTTCAGTTGCAATAGTTACCCATGCATTCCCTGCATAATGCATTTGAACTAAAAACTTGATCAGGTAAATGTATGGAAAGTAACAGGTTGTGACTGTAAAACATATTTTGTTTATAGCAGATGTTTAACACCAGTTGAGGGTCTGATCTTAAATGCATTTATATTTTTATTTTCTGACAGGGGAAAGAAAAAAGAAAGTTATCTCCATGAAATGAAAAGACAAAATAAAATGAAAAAAAGATTTACTGTCCTTTTTCAGGTATTATTTTTCATCCAATTTTTTAATAGGTTTTTACCAGGTTTAGAGACAGATTTAATCGTGAACTGAGAGCTGAAGTTTATAATCCAAGGGGATCCAAGTATATGCAATATGCTCTGTATTGCTAGTGTTGGAGTTCTGTTATAGCTTTGGTGGTCCAGGAATTATGAGAGGGGCAAGGATTTTTGTGGATGATATCATTTATTGGGCCAACAGCATGGTTGAGATAGATGTAGAGAAGCATTTGAATGAGAAGAATTCTTCCCCAGGTCTGAGGAAGGATGCAGGCACAGTGATGATTAAAACCATGGTGAAAGGCTGTAAAACTGGCGAATAGAGAAATTCCCAAACAACAGAAGAAAGGACAACTTGATCAGTTGGAGATCAAGACCTTTCAAAAGGGAAGAGAGTTGTTATGTTTGTCCCACTTCCTTCATAAATAAATGATTCCAGCCACAAATATGGGAAAGTGTGGTGCCAGTCTAGCGGTCACAGAATATATTGTAAACTTAAAGTGAAACTTTACATGCATTGGCACAGAAAGTAACTTTAAATTCACACATCCAGATTCAATACATCTACATCTCGCAAAGCTTGTTAAGTAGGGACTTCATCTTTTGTGAACTGCAGGGGCTAGTGAATATCAGAAAGATTACAATGGCTTGTGTTCACTATCTGTGTTAAATCCCTGGTATCTAGTGTCCAACTGACTGATGAATTTCTGTTCCCACACTTGTCTTTTAAAGGTGTTGGGGAGATTTCCTTAAAGCACTACAACTGTAAGGTCAGATAGGGAGTATTTTTTTCTGTGAAAAATGTTTTCCTACCTGCATTCTAGTGTCTCTGTCCTTTATCTTTTTTCAGTGGTTATTTATTATGGTGCATAGTTTTAGTCTGTTTCATCTGCATAGCTTCCATGAGGCATTTGGTGTACTGGAATAAATGTGTATGATCTGTGGATTCTGATGCTTTTGCTATGGGGAGTGTTAATTGTTGTGGCAGTAGAGAAGCATTGAAAAGTCTTGCATTTATTGGAGCTAGGTCTCACTAGGTGTCCACTGATTAGCAGGGAGTTTACTTCTAACAATCAGTTTGGACAAGATTAGGGGGCTGGAATAGGTCTCAGAGTCCTGAGGGAGGGTACTGTGATATCTGAAAGTTTTTCTATCTCTGTACTAACCATATAGTTGGTCCAATCAAATAAATCATCCACAAGAATTCTTCTCCATCACATATCTCCTGGACCATCATTATGACAACGCCGCAAGCAGGAACAATCTTTGTGGACTTCCAGATCAAAGTGCAAAGAGCAGCCCTCAGAAGGGAAAAGTGACTCAGTTAATTTCTGGTTGCCATCCCACATGTCCTATAACAGGTTCAACAGAAAGCTATTAAAGCTAAATTTTGCAAAATTATAGCCCTGATTCCATGTAAAAAAAAATACTGCTGCAGTTGCAGCAATCACAACTATCTGTACAAATAAGCAGATTCTGGATACATGCAGATATCGACAGTCTGAACTATCATTTGCACATGCAGGTGGTGGGTGTTGGATGGTCTTCATCTATCCCTATTTCAGCATCTGGCTTCAGATGTATAATTTGCATTTTGAATACATAGTTTTAGAAAAGTCTTAATAAGAATTTTTAAAACCAGAAATTTACTCCAAGTTGGTGAGCTGATCCTATCTTTACTTAGTATTGTAATGAAATTACTCATACATGGCTAAAAGTTTCATAGTTGTTAGGGTTGGAAGGGACCTCAATAGATCATCTGCTCTCACCCCCTGCCCTGGGCAGGAAAGTATGCTGGGATCATATGACTGCAGCCAGGTGTCCAGTCTCCTCTTAAAGACTCCCAAGGTAGGGGAGAGCACCACCTCCCTTGGAAGCCCATTCCAGATTCTGCCAGCCCTTACCATAAAGAAGTTCTTCCTGATGTCCGACCTAAATCTGCTGTCCATCAGTTTGTGGTCATTGTTCCTGGTTATTCCAAGGGGTGCCCTGGTAAACAGAGCATATCCAATTTCTTGCTGCCTGCCTCCGCTCCCCCCACCTCCCCCTGATGAATTTGTAAACGGCTGCAAGATCCCCTCTCAGCCTTCCCTTGCGGAGGCGGAAGAGATCCAGGTCCCTCAGTCTCTCCTCATAGGGCTTGTAAGTACCCTGAATTTCAGAAAAGCAGACTTCAACTTGCTCAGAAAACTCATGGGCAGGATCCCCTGGGAAGCCAGACTGAGGGGGAGAGGAGTCGAGGAGAGCTGGCTGTACTTTAAAGAAGCGTTACTGAGAGTGCAGGAAAAAAAACACCCCAATGCACAGGAAGACTAACAAGTATGGCAGAAGACCAGCTTGGCTTAGCAGGGAACTCTTCAGGAAACTAAATCACACAAAGGGCGCTTATAAGAAGTGGAGATTTGGACAAACAACTAGTGAGAAGTATAAGAGTATTGCTCGGGCATGCAGGGTTGAAGTTGGCAAGGCAAGAGTGCAATAGGAGTTGCAGCTAGTAAGGGATGTGAAGGGTAACAAGAAGGGTTTCTACAAGTATGTCAGTAACAAGAGGAAGGTCAGGGAAAGTGTAGGTCCCTTACTGAATGAGGGAGGCAACCTAGTGACAGAGGATGCAGAAAAGGCTGAAGTACTCAATGCCTTTTTCACCTCAGTCTTCACAGCCAAGGTCAGCTCCCAGACTACTGCATCTGGCAGCACAGTTCGAGGAGGAGATGAGCAGCCAACAGTAGCGAAAGAACAGGTTAGTGACTATTTAGAAAAGCTGGACATGTACAAGTCCATGGGGCCAGATGGGATGCCCCTGAGGATGCTGAGGGATTTGGCTGATGTGATTGGAAAAGGTCCTGGATGATTGGAAAAAGGCAAACTTAGTGCCCATATTTAAAAAAGGGAAAAAGGAGGACCCAGGGAACTACAGACCACTCAGCCTCACCTCTGTCCGTGGAAACATCACGGAGCAGATCCTTAAGGAATCCATCTCTAAACACTTGGAGGAGAAGAAGGTGATTAGGAACAGTCAGCACGGATTCACCAGGGACAAGTCATGCCTGACCAGCCTGATTGTCTTCTATGATGAGGTGACTGGCTCTGTGGATGTGGGGAGACCAGTGGATGTGGCATATCTTGATTTCAGCAAGGCTTTTGATACATTCTTCCATAACATTCTTGCAGGCAAACTAAGGAAGTTTGGGCTGGATGAATGGACTATAAGGTGGATAGAAAACTGGCTGGAGTGTTGGGCTCAGAGGGTATTAATCAATGGCTTGATGTCTACTTGGCAGGTGGTCTCAAGTGGAGTACTAGGTTTGGTACAAATTACTTTAATAATATAATAAATCCTAGAAAAGATCTAAATTCTGAACAGCAGCATAATGACACTGCTGGGTGCCCACATCTCACAATCTTAACTTTTGCATTCTTCATTTCATAATGTTAACGTTTGCCATGGAAGGCTAGGAAAGATAAAAATGTAAAGGGGTGGATCCAAGGCCATGCAGTGGTGTAGTTGCATCTTCTCGTGATCCCTAGTCTACCCATACTTTAAAACCAACTGCCAGGCAAGGCAGCAGTGTAATGGTGGAAATTGGGGCTTGGCTCATTTAGTTTATGTTAAGTAGGTCAACAGATAACCTTTATCTGACCCACCCTCAAGAGACCCTGGAATAGAGTGCTGTGCTTACAGCCACGTGCCGTGTGCAGAGCCCTGGCGTGCCGGGTGCACTACCCCTATAAAAGGCAGAAACTGGGTGTGTCTGGGACTGGGAGCATCTGAGCTTGGTGTGTGGGGTGCATGTGTGTGGCTGAACTGAGGTGGGACTGCAAGAGGGAAAGAAGGCAGGGTGCTTGTGGACAGAAAGGAGAAAGAGAGAAAGATGGAGAGACTGAGTGGCTGGTTAACTGTGTGGACCGTGGAGGTTCCCGGTACTGGGCCCAGTCCCCCCAGAGCAGGAAGGGTTGGCTCCCCGGGCTTTTCCCTCCAGGTGTGTCTTTCATGCAGCGTAACGGCCCTCTGTTCTGTTTGGTAAGCATCGCCCCATTCCCCGCTGGATGTTGAGGTTCTTCTCAGCGGGTGTCCGAAGAAGATTAGAAGCCACTGTCTGAGGTGCAGTCGTCTCCAGGTGGAGCCGAACTGAATAAAGTCCCCCTGTCCTTTATAATAAAGTTCAGTCCTCGTATTTTAGTTGTTGTACTTAGGATTTGATAGATAATTAGACTAAGTGTGTTCTTGTGTAATTGTGTACTTACCTGTTCTTGTCAATGTTATAATAAACCATCTTGTTTGTGTACTGTTATCGATTCTCTTAGTTATTTATTTAATAAAAATGGTGATTAGATACGCTGTAGGCAAAGAACCACCCCACCTCTCGGAGGGTTAATTGACAGAGAGAGCCGCTGTTTGGGTGGGCTCGGATCATTAAAGACTAAATTGATAATTAACCCCCAACAGCACCTCTGCAGAAAAGGACCTGGGGTTATAGCAGACAATAAACTGAATATGAGCCAACAGTGTGCCATTGTTGCCAAAAAGGCTAACAGCATCCTGGGCTGCACTGTTGGTGTGTTGCCAGCAGGTCAAGGGAAGTGATTATTCTCCTCTGTTCAGCACTGGGGAGGCCACATCTGGAGTACTGTGTTCAGTTTTGGGCCCCCCACTACAGAAAGGATGTGGACAAATTGGAGAGTCCAGTGGAGGGCAACAAAAATGGTGAGGGGGCTGGTGGATATGACTTATGAAGAAAGACTGAGGGAACTGGGTTTATTTAGTTTGCAGAAGAGGAGACTGAGAGGAGACTTAATAGCAGCCTTCAACTACCTTGAGCGGGGTTTGAAAGAGGACAGAGCTAGACTGTTCTCAGTGGTGACAGATGACAGAACAAGGAGCAACAGTCTCAAGTTGCAGCAAGGGAAGTTTAGGCTAGACCTGCTATACATGTGTGCAGAGCCTGCCTGCTCTGATGCACTGGGAA